TTAATGGAAAAGTAATATAAGGAAATTAAGGAGTATAATGCCACATTGGGTAACTAGTAATAGTAGTACAAATGTAATTAGAAACTGTATATCAATCGCTCTGTAAAAAAAAAAAAGATGTTAATCTAGACTAATAAAGTTTCTATATTTGGCAATATAAATAAATAAATAAAAAAAAAGTTTTAATAAATAAGATATAAAAATAAAAAATAAAAATAAATAAATAAATAAATCATAAGTTCATTCAAATAACAAATTTAAATAAGATTAATAATTAAATAATAATTAAATAATAGGAAATTGCTAATTTACACCTCAGGTGATCATCACCTGTAGTTAATTTGCCAATTAAAATTCAGGATCAGGTGTAACGTGTAAATCAATTTTGTGTAACAAAAACAAGAATTTTTTTAAAAAACACTCATATCTCAAAATTTTGTCTATAAAACTACCTTTTAAGCTCTAACAAAAAAAATTTCTTGCTAAATTTTACTATATAAAACACTCTATTCTAACCTCTAACCACTAACTCTCACCTTTACCCTAATCTTAAAGAGGTTTAATTTTTTTGTTTTAATAGAAATTAATTATTATTTTTTATATATTGTAAATCACAAATAATAATTACCTGTAGTGATTTCTAGTTATTTTCTAAATAATATTAATATATTCAAACAATTACAAAATCAAATAAAAGCTAAATTAACTAATTCAAATATCAAATCTAAATAATTTATTTGTATATACAACTTTATTAAACTTGATATTGTATTGGTCTAAATCAGAGTGTTGTTTTTTTTTAAATTTAATATGCATCTATATAATATTAATTTCTTTAGATATTGTTATTATAATAAATATGAATTATTATAAAATCACCTATAGTGTTTTAGCATCTATATATAATTGCTTCTAGTAAAATTTAGGGTTAGGGTTAGAAAATTAAGAATTATATTTTTTTATATAATATAATATAGAGCTAATATAAGGGCTCAATAGGGCCTATCTTAGTTTTTGTAAGGTTTTTGGGATTCTGAACATTTTTATTTAGAAGACCCAGTTCTGTTTACATAGTACATTTTTGAAAAACATGATCTATAGTATAAAACACCATAGGTGTATTTTAGTAAAAGTCTATAAATATAACCCAAAATATTTACTATTATATAACAGTTAGGGAATATACCAAATTAGAGCAAATTAGAAAATTTGGTTCTAGAATAATCTGCACAGATTTGATCAGCTTTTGTATGACTTCTTGCCAGCAGTTTTAGAAAATTTTTTACACATTTTATTTATTGCTTAAAACTCCTACTGTAAATAAAAGCATTAATAGATAGTAAAAAACATGTAGTTTAAATAATCTACAATAATCTACTTTAGTTAACTCTTGTTAGAAAAATAAATAAACTATTAAAAAAGTAAATAAGATTTAGAATATTCTAATTTGCATAATGACAAAATTTTTTTCTATTCAGTTGATTTGATTAGTTAGTAATTGATATAAAGAAATTTCTAGAACTATTAGATCAGTGTTCTATTACTATAAATAGTATAATCAGCACTATACATTTATAGTATATTCCCTGACTAATATAATACTTAAATCTTCTAGAGACCTGCAGATCAATAGTATAGTAATTAGTTCTCCAAGGTCTCAAGCACAAGGTTGCAAGTTTGAAATCTATAAGGGAATTGTTTTTTACCAAAACTATGATTGGTAATAAGTTGCAGACATAGCTACAGAAAGATTATACGACATCCAGAAAAGAAAAAAAATTTGATATAAAGAAAGTCATTAATATAAGGAATCTTACTTTAAACCACAAACCATAGTATCCTAAAAAAAAAAAATCTAAAGTTTTTTGTAGGAGGTACTTGCTTTCAGAACAGGCATCTAGTAATCTTGAGTGGTGTAGCTATAAAAGAAAATACCAGTAAATACAAAGGTATACAGAAAGTAGCTTAATTACCAAATTCTGGAAACACAGAGATAAAGAGGTTTGTTGTTAAACAGGTAATGAATAAAGAGTAACATGGGGTCTAAGTACAGTAATTAGGAGGACTGCATGACTAAAAATAAAACTAAAATAGGAAATTAATAAGGCTGTTACAGGTCGAAAGATAAAAAATCAAGCACAAATCAGGTACCCGATTTTAAACTGATTACTACCTGATTACTACCTGATTTATGCATATTTTTGTACCAAATTTTTAGTACAAAAATATGCATAAATCAGGTGGTAATCGGACAGTAATCAGTTTAAAATTGGGTATCTGATTTGTGCCTGGTTTTTTATCTTTCGACCTGTGTGTATTGTTAAAGAACTGCAAACTACTATGAAGTCAGGATTCTATACCATGGGGCCAGACAGTGTTGTATATAGGACATTATTGGACAATTTTGAACATTTTTTCAAATTAATATTACTCAAAATTTTATTTAGATAATCTATTTTAATTTTTTTATAAATAAGTCCAGCACCTAAAAAATATATAATTATATTTTTTTTTAAATTACTTTATTGATTATTTAAATCTGAGATATAGGCTTAGACAATTTTGAACAATCTTAGATATTGGATATTGAACATAGTATAGACATGTCTCATGTACAACACTGAGGCCAGAGATCTGGAATACTACAAAAGTGATAAACTTGGCACTGGAGGGTTAGAGAACACCTGAAAGGATTGCTCTACAGATGATGTATATAGAATTAAAGTGTATAACTTAAATTTTTTATAATAAATAAGATATTAAATAAAGATGCTATTTGCATTCTGATTGCTAAAAATAGCACAGAAAAGTTAAAAAAAAATCTTCTAGACAAATTTGACTAAAATACAATATAAGCCAATTTTTAAATACTACAAATACAATTTTTTTAAAAAAATAATAAAATAATTAATTTTAATATAGAACATATTAATATAAATTTGCTTAAAATAATCTACAGATTAAAAGATATTATACTTTTAGAAAAATAATAGAATTAGTAAAAGGTTATTCTTTACAAGGTTGAAACTATTTTAAAAAGGCTACAAAAAATTGCTATATTAATTTTGATATAGTATTTATAGTATCTAAATATTAAAGTAATTACAAATTTTGTAAAAATTAGCTATTTACTATAAATACTTAAAATAACACCATACTTACTATTTTGAGATAAATAGTTTTTTTTAATTTTTAAATTAAAATATCTCAAAAACTATTTAATTAAATTTGCTAAAAATTTTTTAATTTAATTAGTAATTCACGAGTTAACCAGAAAGTGATCATAGTAAAATACAACATAGATCACTTATAGAAATTGGAGTTTTGTGAATATGGCATATATATATCTAAAAGTTTTTTATACAGCACCAGATAGCAAAACGTATTTACTTTTTATTAATAAAAACTTTAAACTATTATAACTTTTTTAAAACAAGTTAAATCAAAAAACCTTTAACAAATTGATAAATATTTAGCTAAACTATATTTTTGTAAAAAGATTTTTTATTATTCTTTGTTTTAAAAGAGTTATTAAGAGTTAAAGTTTATAATGATTTAAAAAATTGGCATTTATTATAAAAAAATATATATATATGTTTAATTAATAGGTTAGGGTCTCATAGCCTAGTGATCTAGATGCCTAACCCTCCACAGACGAGGTTAACAGTTCTATTATAGCTGGTGGTAATTAATTTAATTAATTATCTCTATAACCTTTAAAAGCTTTCGAATACAAAACCCGGTGACAGTAAAACTATGTGATGTATATATTTGGCCTATAAAGAATTCTTGAAAGGAGCCCCAAGCCATGAAGAAGTCTGGGCACTGTGTGTGATATAGGTTACAAAAGGCTTAGGGAGTACCATTTATCAGGTAATTAGGGTTTACTAAGTAGGTTACCCCCCTACCCCCAGTGTTGTCACTTGGACCAGACTTGGACTTGGACCGGACCAGACTCAGATTCGGACCAGACCAGCCAATCATGTCCGTCAGACAGTATATTACTCAAGCTAGTTTGAATTAGACATTAAAAAAGCATTATAAATCGCCAAAATCAGTTTAAATGATTTACCAAAATAAAAATAATATCATGCCACTGCAACACTGTGGAGAACTTACCCCAAAACTTATAATATTGCATAACGATAATTGATTACAAATACAATCGGTTCGCCACAGTAAAAACTTAAATTTTTGCTTCTAACGTCACTCATAATAGTTTAACATTTTAGTTTCCAATTCATTACCACTCAATGAATATTTAGCATAACTTTGCCTACATGTTATTTATAAATAGAAAAAATATGTAATATTTCGATTCAAATATATAAAGAATAAAAAAAAAGGGCGATTCAAGCATTACAAATAAAAAAGATTGATTCAAGTATAAGAATTGGTTCATGTATAATAAATAAAGCGATACTAGAGAACTACTTAAACTTATTATCATTATTAATGTCAATTATCGTATTAATAAGCATGTAATTATTACGTATAAATAGTCTTTTACATTAAGTCCCATGATCTGAATTAAATCTTCGAATCATGTTTCAATTCGTAAAAATTGAAAAATGACATCACAATAGCGTAAAATATATAGGCTAAACACATATTATATAGACTATATAACAAGATTATGCTCCTAAAATTTTTCAAGTTTATAAAAAGTTCATTCAATACTTAATAGATGCTAATGTACAGTAGAAAACCAAGTTTCGATCTCAAAGTATTCTAAGTTTAAAAAGGCTCTAGCCTATAAAACTTTATTTCTTTATTTATTATTATGATAAAATAAATTGAATTGTTAAAATTGAAAATTGAAAAAATGAATTACAATAATAGTAATTCATTAAAAAGTGTAATTAGATCCCATTTGGCACTAGAATCAACTGCTGGGTAAATAATATCATCAACTGGTAAGAAAATTCTTCTTCTTCTTCGTCTATATCCGCTAATTCTTCAGTTTCATTTGCTGATATTTCCACCCATATATCCAAAAATTAACTAAATTCTTCCTCCAAAGAATTTGAGTCTGCTATCTCTTCATCATTAAAGTTTTCATTTGCCATATTATCTTCGTTCTCAGGTTCAGATTCAAGTCTTGATTCAGTTTCAAGTTTTGATTCAGTTTTAGGATCAGTTTCATTAGAAGGCTCATTATTTTCTTCATTGGTAACCTCTTGTTAGTTCTGTATGCTTTCTTGAAAATTTAGTGCAAGTAATTCAATAGAATTTGATTCTTTCCAATGATTCCATGTAATTTTAGCTCTTAATTTAGACATGCCAAAAGCTTTTGAAGACTAGAATATAAGATTAAATTAGAAAAACAACAAAGCGGCTCTATACAGTATCATTTTCTCGACCCTAACCTTAATTCTAGAATTAGGTTAGTGTAAGAAATTGATTGTCGGGAAAATGAAAAAAAAAAAATTCAAAAAAAGCAAAAGTTATTACTGCTAGTCGACTTCTCTGATTCGTCTGCAAAAAGCCCATACAGCTCCAGGGACATTTGACTGCAGCTGTATTCACACAAACCCCATATAATTTGCAAGCCACCACACCTAATTCATTTGTTGAAGCTCCCACAAAGCTCCAATAACTCCAAATATCATTAAAGTGATCATATGAACTATCATCAAATGGGTAGATCTTCATTGAAAAATTACTAAATTCACGCAGAATGCAAGTAGGGGTTTTCCCGGTTCAAGCTTTATAGTAGTAAACTAGATATTTGTCTAATAGAGCATAATTGACGGTTGATTTATTTCTAAATAGTGGTTATGATATTTTGAATGCAGCAAACAAGATAAAATCAATAAAGGTTGTTCTTAGCTGCTCCACCTTCTTTTCAGTCAAGTTAAAATTTTTTTAGCTAATTGATGGTCAGTATAATTATTCCATAGTTGAACTAAGTATGCAAAGCTATGAGTAATATGAATTAACCTTGCATTATCACATTGTAAAATATTTAAAATTTTACAGTACAAATACAGAATTTTTGCAATTATTGTCAAATTTGTCCAAAATGTGCTTGAGTCAATAATTTCAAAGATATCACGATTAAGGGTTGGATTTTCTCCGGTTCACTGTCGGGATTGGACAAGTAGTGGTTGGTGATTAAGCGCAAGAATCTAAGAATACATAAAAAATTTTATGATAATATATAATTAATATATATATATATAATATATATATACCTTTAATGCTTGTTGGCTTCGCAAAAGAGTGGTTGCTACAGTATAATAACTGTTCTATCGAGTTTCTCCCAGAACCGCTATAGCATAATATTTCTTGTAAGTTATTTTTTGTTGATCATGTAACTTGGCAATAAAATATTTATTATTAGCATTCTTAAAATAGATGGCTAGCTGAATTGCTCAGTCCATAGTTATCTTCAGTTCTGTCAATTCTTTAAAAATCTCACTGATACTTAAGTTAAACTGATGCGCAAAACAAGGTAAAAAAATGATATTTCTTTCGGAAAGCCTTAATCTTCGCCTAATATTAAATTAATTTTATAGAATTAAAGTATTCTAAGTATCTCTATATAATTAAAATGTTATACTTTTTTTTAATAGATATAAATAACTAATGCTAAGCTTTCAAAAAAAAAATTCTAGCAGTCAAAATAATGCACAATACATTAATATTTACGCGAAACTGCAACTATCTAATAATTTGACTAGTGAACAGTAGTGCTCACAATTTATATTCACATAAATTTAGTTTAATTATTTAACTAATTTAAATTTATCACTAACATATTAAGCTTAAGAATATCTAAAAAAAATTTAAAAATAGCACATATCTTGCCACCACATAAGGTCCAGCGCTGTCAGTAACAACCACAGAAACCTTTATATCCATATCTTGTACTTCATTTATCATTCCTTTTGTTTTTTCTATCACTTCAATATTTGATTCTCTTTCTAAACTAATATTAGTTACTTTCCACGCATGTGTTTACTACCTGAAGTAATAACCATTACGTCTAGCAATTGCTCATTTTTAACATTTGTCTATCTGTCAAATGTTAAGGTAATACCAAATAAGTCTTGGTGAAGCTCATCATACATGTCTTTATCTTTTTCAGATACTGCTGCTTTTAAAATTCTCCCACCAAGAAGTTGATGATTGGGGAGTTTGATACAAGGATTCAAAAATTGAAACAATTCTTTAGCTTCAGGATTGTTCACCCAATGAAGAGCCCACCCACAGGATACTGTTAACCTTAATAAAAGGATCTCAAATCTTTCTTTGTTTTGTTGTAACAATGGTCGAACTGTGTAATTATCAAGAGGCCCATAGGAAGAGGATCGTACTATGACTTTTCGTGTTGAAGAAGCTTTGGAGGAATTGGATGCAGTGTCATAAGAAAAACTAGGAGAAGCTGAAAAAAAAAAACACATATTAGTCTTATGAATAAATTAAAGATAAAATAACCTTTTTTTACCCGGTCTTTTTTCATTTGAAATTTCTTTTTTATTAGACAGGGCAAATATTTCATCTCTTTCTTCGGGTGTCATTTTCTTCATAAAATATGCACATTTATTTAGATGCTGAATGATTCTATCTGTTTTATTGGAAAAACTTTTGTTTTTGCCTGCTTCCTCACCCAATACTTCAACACATGCTTTACAAAAAACTTTAACATTACTTTTACCAAGTTTCTCAGAAGATTTAATAATATGTCTTTCCAATACGATTGATAATGGCATTTTGAACGAAGTTTAATGTGTACCATAGAAATTTAGTGTCAAATATATATCCGATTCTCCAGATAAAGCTTATATTTATTATGTTATATTTGGCTTGTCTATTAACAAATGTGAGCTAAACTTTTTTTATTATAAAAACTCATTCTCAATATGAAAGAACAATACTAAAGTTATAAACAAATGAATACAGAATGCAAAAGCCACATTCCCATTCTTTATCTTTAATTACAAATTCAGGTATGCTGATGCTTTAAATACTAATTAACATGAAATATTTTCATTATAACTTTCCTGAAGCAATTATATGAACAGATATTCTAGATTGACTTGCGCAAATATAGACTAACTTTAAGAATCATTTTATTATTACA